AAAAAAATTTATATCCTTGAAAAATAATAAATAAAACGTTGGTTTTTCAGGTCCTACTGCACGCCATTCCTTCCTCCTACCTATCATAATATGGCGTTGACCCTGCAAAACATATCAATTCGAAACTCCAGTAATTCTCAAACAAAATGAAAGTAAATAGCAAAACTGCTGCATTTCAACAGAAAAAAGGAGCTAAACTGTTGTTCCAACAAGAAACAAGAAGAAATCTACAGTAGTGGGAGGAGATATCAACAACTCACTGTTTTACTTTTGGAACAATCTGAATCCAGTTCTAACGTACTTCTAAGAGTTCCAAGGGGCCTAGGTGCTAAAGAGACGCATTTGAATTGTGAACAATGTTATCCAAAGTCTTGTAAGTTTTCTTTTCTCTTTTTTCTTTTTTTTTTCTTCGCTCACCTTGTAAGGTATGATTTTAATATAATTTGAGATGTTCCTTTAATTTATTTCTTTTATGGTTGCTGATATTTGATAGTGCATAAAAGGAAGCAAGCAAGCTAATCAAATTAAAAATATCATTTCATTTTGTTAACATTTATATAAAATTTTAATCAACTCAGGGATTTTTACCAAATCAAAACTTTAATGGTTGAAGCCCAAAATTCTTTTGTAAGCAAATTAGGGCACGTTTGGGAGTGCCTCTGGAAAGGCTAAAAGCGTTTTTGACAGCGTTTGACATAAAAGTTTAGAAGTGCTTTTGGGTCATAGAAGCACTTTTTGGAGAATTACCTGCTATGTACTTCTTCAGGAAACACTCTCAAGTGTTTTTTCAGGAAGCGTTTGAGATTTTTTTAAATGAAAATTCAAGATTTTTATTATAAAAGCGCTTATGAGCAGAAGTACTTCCTAGAGAAAGAGCCTCAAACGAGCCCTTAATCCTTGAATATTGGAGACCATATACAGGATGTGGTAGGATAAGAATTCGTCCACACGTGTGGTCTGAAGTATGGGCATGTGGTACAACTTGTCCACATCTTAAAATATGAGTGTATACTTATTACCATAAAAGTAGAAAATATGAACCATGTCGTCTACCCATATTTTAACACTTGAACGGACACGTGATCATACAATATAACACCATACAATAATTTCTCCTTCTACTCATAAGATGAAAAAGAAAGCTCACAACTAAGTATTATTATTGTTTTTCATCTCTTTGCAGAGCTTATCACTTGAAGAGATTTTTTTATGTCTTTGGATTTTTCGACCCAAAAAAAAAAAAAAAATCTTTGGATTTCATGGGAAGTTCCGAAGAACAAAATGATAAAATGAAAGCAAAGTGTGCTTGTTTCATGTTTTCTTGAGAATCATTTAATCATTTTTTAAAATTCATTCTTTATGTGTTTGTGTGGTGTTGTGCGTCTATATCTATTAGGTTCTTTTTGCTCCAATGTGTGAGAAAAAGTGGAAGAGAGAGCTCATTCTTGAAGAATGGAAGCATCTTACTAAAGGATCTTATTGCTTCTTGTGATGGCAAATCTACTCCTATTCGTCATTACTCTGCTGCTGAGCTCGTTAGGGCTACCAACAACTTCGATCCTTGTTGCATTGTAGAAGAGGCTTCATTATACTACACGATGTTCAGGGGTATTCTGGACGACCAAACAATTATCGTTAAGAAGTACATCATTACAAGGGACTGGCCCGACAAGGATGAAGCTAGGTCTTGGGCTATTCGTGATATTGTCATATCAATGCAGATGAGCACACATAAGAATGCTTTGAAATTATTAGGTTGCTGCTTAGAGTTTTCTCTCCCAGCTCTGGTGCATGAAGGTGCAGCAAAAGGAGTTCTCAGGGATGATGCAAGTTTAACCGGGGATAACGAAAGTCAATCCTTGTTACCATGGAAAACTAGACTGCGTATTGCAAAGCAGCTTGCTAATGCACTTACATATCTCCATACTGCCTTTTCGAGACCCATCATTCATAGGGGCCTAAGTTCCAGCTGCATTTTTTTGGATGACGACTATGTTCCAAAACTCTCCAACTTTTCTTTCTCCATAACCATTCCTCCTAAGCAATCCCATGTTGAAGAAGATACCTTGAAATGGACAAATGGGTATGCTGACCCCAACTACCTGGCAACTGGTTACATTACAGAAAAAACTGATGTTTATAGCTTTGGTGTTCTTTTACTTGTACTCTTGACGGGAAGAACTGCAATTACTGCAAATTTGAAATTTCATGTTTCTGATAGCCAAATTCAAATTCACAACATTGTAGACCCTAAAATCTTCGAGGAGGTAGGGGAAGCTGAGCAAGAACAACAACAATTGCGGGATTTCCTAGCACTTGCATTGTCATGCATCCAAACCCAAAATGAAGCAAGGCCATATATGATTGACGTAGCCAAAGAACTCGTACGAATTCACAAGTCTTATCTTGCTTGTGCACTAGCTTAAAATTGCTCATTTTATATTATTTATGTAAAAAATTTAGTGTGGCTGACAACATAAAAATGCTCATTTTATATTATTTATGTAAATTTTTTAATGTATATAGTGTTATTATTCAATAATATCTGAAAATATACATGAATTTGATTTTTATTATTCAAAAATTGATACAAAATACATGTATTAAACGTGAAAAATATATGTATGTTTGTGTATAGTAAGTTTAGTTTAAAAGAACGTGTATGTTATCATATTTTTGAAGTATATGAGAAATGAAAGTATTTAAAAAAAATATGTACATATCATATGTATAAAATATGTTCACATTATGAACCAAGGTGGTTGGTGTGAGTGGTTCGGCACTCTCATTCCTTAAGAGAGGTCAGGGGTTCGATCCCTGCTCTTGTATGGAGTCACCACTTTGGCCAGCACTTTACTCCTTACGGGCCGACCCGGTGTGAGCGGGGATTAGTCTGGGTTGTGGTTAAGGCTTAAAGGTGCCATCCATAGTTGGAGCCCATCCAGGACCACCTCGTGGTTCAGACCAAAAAAAAAATATGTTCACATTATGGGCGAATTTACTAACTAGGATTAGACAGTATTATGGCCCAAAATTAAAAAAAGGTCCAAGCAATTAGCCCAAATCAGGTAACCAGTCATGAGTGAAAATCTTTGATGGTAGTTGACAGATGGCAACACTCTCTTGGCGCTAAAACACGTACTTTCCCCGCCAAAAGCCACGACACAAAACCCAATATTGCAACAGAAAGGAAAAGCAGACATTGACCAAAAAGTAAAAAAGAAGAAGCAGAGAAGAAAATTTCCATCGATGGGCGAAGAGAAACACTACTGGCTTCTGAAGACGGAGCCAGGAGAGTGGTCGTGGGAGGACCAAGCAGCCAATGGGGGCGTAACCAAGTGGGATGGCGTCAAAAACAAGCAAGCCCAGAAGAACCTCAAGTCCATGAAACTCGGTGACCTATGCTTCTTCTACCACTCTGGCGCCAAGGCCCGCCGCGTAGTTGGCGTGGTCACGGTTGTTCGGGAATGGTATTCGGACGGCGGAGACGATAGCGTGGTTGATGTGAAGGCGGTTGGGGAGATGAGGAGGCCGGTGGACTTAAAGGAGATGAAGGGGGAGAAGGGGCTCAAGGATTTTGCTCTGTTTAGGCAGCCGAGGCTGTCGGTTGTGCCGGTTCCTGAGGATGTGTGGATTAGGGTTTGTGATTTGGGAGGTGGGTATCAAGGTGATGGTATTGTTTTAGAGAGCCATGATAGTGATGGTGAATCTGGTGAGGAAGAAGACGATTGATTTTGAGGGTTTTTTGTGTGTTGTTTCTTGCATGGTAGGTGTTTGTGATTATGTCACAATGTCCTAAGTGACTTGTACTATTTTGGGTAGTGTCAATGGGAAATAGTACTTTTTAAGTGATTGTACTTCATGGTTTTGTTTGATCATGAAAAGGGAAAACTTGTACCTTGGCATGTAATTAGTAGGCTTTTAACAAGCACAAAATGAATGTGAGCTACACTTCGCTCATTTGGGTCTCTCGTTGTTAAAGTGTTAATGTTAAGCTCTCTATATTTGAATATTCAACCCACTCTCTAATCTTCTTCTGTAATTCATAGTTCCCAAGAGAAAATTTGTAATGTTCAGTTATCATTTGTAATATCCATTTGGAAGGAGTGAGGGCAGATATGGTTGATGTGAAAGGCAGTTGGGGAAATGAGGAAGGCAGTGGAGGAGATGAAGTCTGAATGGATTTGCTCTGTTTATTCAGCCGAAGCTGTTTATTTGCTCTGTTTTCGTTTTCTTTTTGTCTGATAATGAAAGGGGAAAATAGTAATTTCCTGTGAACTTATTTGGCCGGCTCCACTGTAAGTTGATCATTCGATGGTATCGTTGACCTTGCAAAGCATAGCAATAAACTTCAGAACTCTACTCATTCTCAAATGAAAGCCATATCCATCCATCCATCCGTCTGCAGAAGAAAATCAAATTAACGGAGTGGACTGGGTGGAGAAATCGATCAATTACTGTTTACTTCGTGCAATCTAAAGCAGAAACAATGCCATCAAAACTCTTGCATTTGTAAGTTCAAGTTTTCATGGATAATATGTAGCTTCAATTTTAAACCTGATTGTAGATTTTAATTGTAAGTTCTAAAAGCTCAGATTATATCTCTTGGAATTTCATATGAAGTATGCAGAGTGTATTAGCATAGTCTCACATCACATGCGTCCCTTAGGAGAGATTATTTCAATTTCGTCATTTTATTTTCATTTTTAACCAATAAAAAATATATATAGTTTCATTAATTTATTATATTACACGGATATATTCTATCTGGTTCTCAATGTTGACATGCTTGGGAAAGGAGGGAAGAGATGCTGATATTGAGTCATCATACTACAATAATCTGAGCAAATTATTAGAGGATCTCATTGCTTCTTGTGATGGTACATCTCATCCTGTTCATTGTTACTCTGCTGATGACCTCATCAGGGCAACCAACAACTTCCATCCTTCTCGCATTGTATGAAGGGATTCAAACTACACAATGTTCAGGGGATTTCTAAATGACTGGTCGATTATCATTGCCAAGTACTACATTGGGAGCTTGCCCCATGACTCATGGGGCAATGAGGATGGTGTTGTCTCTAGCAATTCGCGACATTGTCATTTCAATACAGATGAGCAACCATGAGAATGTTTTGAAACTCTTAGGCTGCTGCTTAGAGTTCCCTGTACCCGCTCTGGTGCTTGAAAAAGCAGCAAAAGGAGTTCTCAAGGTCAAGGGTGATGGAAGTTTAAGAGGGGATGGATCCTTATTATTACCATGGAAAATTAGACTGTGTATTGCAAAGCAGCTTGCTAGTGCAGTTACATATCTCCATACCGCCCTTCCCAGTCCCATAGTTCATGGGGATCTAAAACCTGGTTGTATTTTCTTGGACCACGACTATGTTCCCAAACTCTCCAACTTCTCACTCTCCATGAGGTCTGGCCACATCTCAGAAAAAACTGATGTGTATAGTTTTGGTGTGCTTTTACTTGTATTCTTGATGGGACGAAGAGCTTGGTGGCTAATTATACGGCAGGAAGGAGGGTATAGTTCAGTTATTGATTATATGAAGTCACATGCTTACCAGCATCAGGCAATTGTGGACCCTAAAATCTTAGAAGAGGTTGGGGGAAATAAGCAAGTAGAACAGCAGTTGCATGATTTCCTAGAACTGGCATTGTCATGCACTCAAGATGAAATTGAAGGAAGGCCTTATATGAGCAATGTGGCGAGGGAACTCGTTCGAATCGACGAGTCTATTTTGCCCAGCTAGCTTCAATCCACTCTATTTGTTATCAAACATGTTGGATATGGGTTCAACAACATGACTAGTATTTGGAAGGTTGTCAGTCTCTCTTCTGTTAATGTTGAACTCTGTATACCCTTTATTATGATTGTTGTTGGTTGTTAATTTGTTACTATTATTTTCTTTTTTCTGTTAATTTGTAGCAAATATGAAATCTTAGACTAAACCTCTCATATGAATTTTTCTACAGATTCTCCAGTATTGTAAAGCAACTTGCTAATGCAGCTGACTATATCTTCATACTGCGTTTCTCAGGCCCATCAGCCATAGGGATTTAAGACCAACATATATTTTATGTACTCATTTCTAAATTGTGACAAAATTTAAATGCTTTCGAAGCCATAGATGGTGAGAGGCTAATGCATTTTGCTTTTTTCTTTTGTGCCCAACCAATTTCAAGGCAAGTAAGTACAATTGAGGAAGCAAACTCATTGGCGCCAAGACACATGTTTTCCCTCCAAGAAACCCAGAAGCCAGAACACAAAAACCCAATATTCCAACCGAAATGAGGAACAGAGAAGAACAAGCAGACATTTGACTCGAAAATCTGGCACGGTTGGTGTTTGTGATTATGTCACAATGACCAAGTTCCTTGTATTTTTGAATAGTGCTTTCTTTTTGGTTGTGTTTGATCATAAACATGGAGGAAAGGGTATTTTGGCATGTAATTAGTAGGTGCTTTCTTGCTATGCGTTTAGTAGAAAGAGTCACAATAGAACTATTGCAGTTCGCTTTGCTTTGTGTATGCCTTTTGTATGCTCAACCAATTTCAACGTAAGTTCATTTAGATTTTAAATTTTGCTCATCATTTATGGATTATTTATGTTGCATTTTTTGTTTTTCCAAGTCAATTGCTGATTAGGGTTGCGGGAAGGAGGACAAACAGAAGAGACAACGACTGGGAAAAGGGTGATGATATTTTTTAAGAATATGAATGATGAGTGGTTTATTGAGATGCAACGACTGTAAGATGGCTTGCAGTTTTCCAACTTGGTTAGTAAGTCGTCCTATAAGTCAATATATGAGGGCGCATGTGACATTAAAAATACATAAACATAATTTTTGTTGACCTTTCTACGCATACGACTGAACTTCAAACCTCTGTTCCTTCTCAAATGGAAGGTTTCAGTAAAAGGAAATGAAACTAAAGAAATACATAGCTGCTTGCACATGAGATCCGCACTGGACTCTGCGGAGAAATAATCAACAAGTTACTGCTTATTTGGTGCAATCTGATTCCAATTCTGAGGGGACTTGGTGCTGCAAAGCAAAAAAGCGAACAATGTCATGGAAAGTCTTGTAAGTTCCCCTTTTTTTTTTAATGATTATGTATGGCTGTTCTTAATTTAGACCTGATTTGAGATATTCCTATAATTATTTTCATTCTTGCTTGCTTCTGATACTTCATATTATGCAACTAATCGAAATAATGTGTGACTGCTTTTCAACAACATTATCTTAAATTTTAATTGATGTCAAAGATTTGATCTTGTATGCTAAATCAAAATTTTCATGAGGCTGAAGTCTAACAGTTCATTTGTAAGGGACGAAATCCTTAGATTAGATCTCATAAACTTTCATGTGAAATTCAAATGCAAAAATGAAAGGAAAATGGGGTATTCAAGTTATCTGGGAGGTGTTCTGTCATTGGCCAGATCCATTTCAACATTATATATGTTTGTATCAGGTTCTTCCCGTTGGTTTCACGTTTGAGCAAGAAGGAAAGTGAGAGATCATTCTTGGACAATGGAAGCATGTTATTAGAGGATCTCATTGCTTCTTGTGATGTTAAATCTAATCCTATTCGTTGTTACTCTGCTGCTGAGCTCATGAGGGCTACCAACAACTTCGATCCTTCTTGCATTATTATGGAAGACGTTTCACCATGCTACCAAATGTTCAGGGGTATTCTAGATGACCGAACAATTATCATTAAGAAGTACATCACACAGGAATACATCAACAAGGATGAAGCTAGGTCTTATGCTATTCCTGATATTATCATATCAATGCAGATGAGCACCCATAAGAATGCTTTGAAATTATTAGGTTGCTGCTTAGAGTTTTCTCTCCCAGCCCTGGTGCATGAAAATGCAGCAAAGTAGAACTTCACCCAAATTACGAAGACCAAAAATCATATACCATCCTAGCACTAGATCAAGAACATATATTAAAGAGGCAGACCTACCATAAAAAGATGATGATGATGATGATGATGTATGGTTTGCGTTGGTGTTGGTAATAAGCTTGATAGGGCATGAGGAGATTGGAAGAACTGGGAGATTTTGACAATTGAAAATTTCAACCATGTAGCCGTCTGGATCACGAAAGAAGAGCTGGTCCACAATAACACCACCTTCTTCCACCTTGGCTGTCACATACTCTATCTTCATCTCTTCCAGCTTCTGCATAACCACCCCAATATCTGAGCACTGGAATGAAATGTGATTGTCCTTTGGGTTGATTTTGCCTTTCTTTTCTGGGATATTTTTGTCTGACTCTAGCAGATGAATACCAATTCCATAGTTGAACAACCTGAGATATGATGATGATTCATTTAGCAATAATCTTAGATAATTAATTATGAAATAGTAATTAGGAAAAGAATAAGCTGAGCAAAAGTTCCACACATGGAAATAAGAAAAAAGAAAAAAGAAGGTTATAATGAGGGGTGAGTGGAAGTGTGTGTGCGTGTTTTTGAAATAGAAGAGAGGTTAATACAAAAGTTTCATAAAACTGAGTATTATTTGTTGTTCCTCAGTTTGTAAGAAATATATGAAAGCTGAGATTTGATCTCTTTGGATTTCATGTAAAGTTAAAGAACAAAATGAAAGCAAAGTTTGGGTGCTAATGCTACGTCTTTTCTTGAGAATTGGGATAGATTATTTATTTTCATTTCATCCATTTCTTATTCATTTCTTTGTGCGTTATGTGCGCTCTTGTGTGTGTCTATATATACATATATCAGGTTCTCAATCATTCCATGTGTAAAGCGAAAGGAGGAAAACGAGGAAAGAAAGAGATCATTCTTGAAGAATGGAAGCATGTTACTAAAGGATCTAATTGCTACTTGTTCTTGTGATGGAAAATCTCATCCTATTCGTTGTTACTCTGCTGCTGAGCTCAATAGAGTTACCAACAACTTTGATCGCTCTTGCTTTATTACAGATGGAACATACTTCGACATTTACAGGGGTATTCTAGATGACCGAACAGTTATCATTAAGAAGCATTATATCGTCGACTGGGCTATTCGTGATATTATCATATCAATGCAGATGAGTGCCCATAAGAATTCCTTGAAATTATTAGGCTGCTGCTTAGAGTTCGATACACCAGCTTTGGTGTTTGAAAATGCAGGAAAAGGAGGTCTCAACGATGATGGGAGTTTAGCAGTGGATAATGAATTATTACCATGGAAAACTAGACTGCGTATTGCAAAGCAGCTTGCTAGTGCACTTACATACCTACATACTGCCTTTCCAAGGCCCATCGTTCATAGGAATCTGAGATCCACCTGCATTTTATTGGACGATGACTATGTTCCCAAACTCTCCGACTTTTCATTCTCCATAACCATTCCACCTGACCAATTGTATGTTCAAGACAATTTCGCAATAGGGACATCGGCGTACATGGACCCTACTCACCGAAACTCCCGTCGAAGTTCAGAAAGAACTGATGTTTATACCTTTGGTGTGCTTTTACTTGTATTCTTGACACAAAGAGCTGCATCAAGACGACATGGAGCAGAAATTGAACTCCTTATTGCAGATTCGAAACTTAATGTTCCTGCTGGACAGATTCAAATAGAGACAATTGCGGACCCTAAAATCCTTGAGGAAGTCGTGGGAGATGAGCAAGCACAACAGCAACTGCAGGATTTTCTAGCACTGGCATTGTTATGCATCCAAGACGAAAATGAAGCAAGGCCAGATATGATTGATGTGGCCAAAGAGCTTGTAAGAATTGACAAGTCTATCTTGCCTATGTAGCTACCTTAATTAATTTATGTACTACATTTACTATGCATGTGGAGCTAGAAGAGCTTACCAGTTTGTAGTTTGTAAGACGAAAATAGGCTATTCAAGTGTGTTTTTATTTTATGTCGTCCATGTCGTGGATGGGGCTGAAACCCGACCCAATTTTTTTTAAAACTTCCCAGCCTATATGGCCCAGCCCATCCAAATTAAAATAATAGCCCATCTTGTTGGTTGTTAATTTGTTACTATTATTTTCTTTTTTCTGTTAATTTGTAGCAAATATGAAATCTTAGACTAAATCTCTCATATGAATTTTTATTGTGTTTGTGTTTTACATATGCTGGTGAGCTCAAGAGGGCAACTATAGAATCTATTGAGTATTGTAAAGCAACTTGCTAATGCAGCTGAATATATCTTCATACTGCGTTTTTCAGGCCCATCAGCCATGGGGATCTAAGACCAACATACATTTTATGTACTCATTTCTAAATTGTTACCAAATTTAAGTACTTTCGAAGCCATAGATGGTGAGAGGCTAATGCATTTTGCTTTTTTTTTTTTTCTTTTTTTTTTCTTTTGTGCCCAACCAATTTCAAGGCAAGTAAGTACAATTGAGGAAGCAAACTCATTGGCGCCAAAACACATGTTTCCCCTAAATGAGGAACAGAAAAGAACGAGCAGACATTTGACCCGAAAATCTGGCATGGTTGGTGTTTGTGATTATGTCACAATGACCCAGGTTCCTTGTATTTTTTAATAGTGCTTTCTTTTTGGTTGCGTTCGATCATAAACAGGGAGGAAAGGGTATTTTGGCATGTAATTAGTAGGTGCTTTCTTGCTATGCGTTTAGTAGAAAGAGTCACAATAGAACTATTGCAGTTAGCTTTGCTTTGTGTATGTCTTTTGTATGCTCAACCAATTTCAACGTAAGTTCATTTAGATTTTAAATTTTGCTCATCATTTGTGGATTATTTATGTTGCATT